TTCAGACCAGAGATGATGATACAAGTACCCCGCATACACTTGACAAAGAATAGTTGACAAGGTCAAAACATGGTCGTAATACTTGCGATTTCTGCCGTCGAGCACCTAAATTCATCAATATTATCCAACCAGGAAGCAAAGTTAATGTTTCGAGATCAATGTACAAAGCAAATGCATGCCTTTGAACAATCCAAAGTAACGTCTTTGGCTAAAATCGAGTCAGATATTGCGACAGTCGATAAGCCCAGAATGGTGAATAAACTGAACGCGTAGGCCGGAAGTTCTAGAAGCACGACTGCTGACCGGATGTAACACAATGTAATGGATGTAACACTGGATGTAAGTGTAATGATATCCTCTTGTTACGGGGTTGTTTTACAATGAAAATGGTGAAGAAAGACCCCCCCCCCTCCGAAAAAAACAATGAAAACCGAAAAACCGAAGCATCAAGTAAAAATTCAACGTTGAGCAATCTCATACCCCGGGAAAACGGGAACAGGGTTGAAAAGTTTGGGTGCGACGGGAATGAGTTTTCCTGTGTCCTCTTGATATACTGGGATTGGTCTTTTACCAAACTATACTTGATATTTTTTACACCAGCCCCTCCAGTAAATCCCCAGGCGTTCTCGGTGATATTAAAAAATATCAAGCGAGCTTGCTTTATCGTGATTAACATCAAAAAACCCTTATAAAAATGTATGCGTTCAGGCATATCCAGTACCTTGCAATTGATGCAAACAGACTTAGAAACAGCGCAACAACAATGTACCATACACGAAGAAAACCATAGTTTCTTTAAACAAATGCTGAGAATATGCATCATAACATAAATCTAAAAATAAAAACAAAGTCGATGAAGCTGAACCGACTGAAGCTTGGGTGAAAATTGAACGCATGATTATAATAGCCACACCAAAAACAAAAAGATTGCTATATAGACTGTGAAAATGCAATTACAAATTCAGTTATGATTAACTATTCGTAACAAGAGAATGAAAAATTCGCACGTGAAATTTTGTATGTATTTACTAGCACGGTAGAGAATTAGATCCATTTCATCGTTGACTTGTCACCACGGTTTATACCAAGTCCGTAGGCTTGCACGTGCCTGGAAATATTCCTTTGAGATTCACTGAGTTTTTATTGTTTCCACTGCACTCACAAACGTCCCCTTTGGGATTTAAAAAAGAACAACTTTCCGTTGTCCCGACCAGGATATTTTCCTCCGCACAACGATATGAAAATTTCCCTTACAGCGTTTTTTATCGACGGCACAAATTTACTTCCGGCCACCCCTGCCCCACCGAAAAAAAAAACAGCAACAAACAAACAAACATATAAATAAATACTTTGCAATTTTTTGCAATTTGCCTCGGATGTCTTCAACACCCATTGCCAAACTATAATTTTCCCCAAATAGATTCTATGATATTTAGAAACTTCAATATCTAGGTAAGCTCTGCTGCTAATTTGTTTTTTGGGGAAAGAGTACTTTCGGAGAAATTCCGAATATGGTTGTGCTTGTTTTTCCTGCTCGTCAAAATGGCTGACAGGCAACATAGTATTACGAGCATTGCCTTCTTGGTCGTAAGAACCAGAATACTTTATCGGCAAGCTTTATGAACAAGGAGAATACCTCTACCATTTGTATGAATTTCATTTAAATTGGTTCCCGTACGCCCGAGAACTGGACTCGTTTATTTCTACTTCTTGGGAGTGAATTTTATGGTCAAAACATAGACCTCAGGCCGACGTGATCAAGTGCGGTTAGCATGGCAACGACATACCTGCCGATCCAAATATGGCTCTTTTTGTTCATCCCCCCAGGTAACCTACCTCCACACAAAAAATGAAGGGGGGGTTTAAAATTTTCATTTCCAACTTTGTTTCACTTTCTCTGAGAATTGCTCTTAAACTTCTGACATCTTTGCTTGTCTTTGACCTCCTTTAAACCTATTGTTATGGAGATAATTGGCTGAATGTCTGCCTTAAACGTTTTCCTCTTCATGTTTTCCCGGCGTGACCACCCTTTTGAATTTATGAAAAACCACATCCAGGTGAAATAATTAGTTAATTTTGGGAGATGGTAACTGTGATCGATCTCCTGCATGTTTAGACCTTCAACCTATAACTTCTAACGTGCAGTGTCCAGCCTGACTATTAAGCACCTTGTTAAATCACTAGAGAATTTCAAGCTGGTGTGATACATCTGAGTCGCAGCTCTGTCTTTCTTGGTCACTGATTGCTGGATATCGTATTGATATCTGATGAAAAAGTTAGGGGTTTTTCACTTCTGCGGAGAATGAAGGATCAAAGATTGCCGCCGTTAGTAAAGAAAAATAATGGAACCACTTATCGGTAACTTCTCAGCTGAAAAAGCAGCGAAGAAAAAAGTTAACCCTTTTTTGTGAATACATGCAAAGGGTGACCTTCTGTCCTTTAAGAGGGAATGAATGACCTGGAAATAAGGAAAGTATAACCGAGGCAAAACCCTTTAACTCAGTACACCATGAGCAACTTATTCAAAGTGTTCCCAACCTTTCCCTAATCGAAAGTTTCCCAAACTCGAAATGTAAAGCACATAACCTAATAGGCAATATCGGCTGATGGTGGTTTGCAATTCAATGAATAGGCCTTGAAAGTGGTTGACATCTTCAAGCAAAATTTGCACAAGACAAAGACGTTAAACTCGAATTTTGAAGTGTTCAGATTGATTTCTCTTTCTCTTGTCTCTCATTTGCGTCATAAAAAGCTATACTTGTTCATCGGATCCTTTTTTAACTCAAAATCCTGATTCCTATAAACCTGAGATTGAACGGTGGCCTAATGTCTTGAAATCAGCTCAGAGATGTTTAAGTAGCGGTAACAGCACAAACTGTTTAACGTTTTGCATAAAATGTCATGAAAACTGACTATTTTAAAAAATATGAAACCTTACCTTCTTCCAAAGGAGAAGGGAATCAAGAGAGCTCTGGGAAGTTTCAATGAGATGCTAGATTATTTAAACAAATCTTACAATAACTTTCTGAACCCAGCCAACAATACAAAAGCATATTTACGATAAGTTTAGCCTTCCTTGTTATACCCACCAATCCAGAGAAAGTATTAGCATAATCATGAATTACTCAACAACAACAGCTGGTAGTTACAAAGATAAGTTAGAGGTGTGGTGCTTAAGGCTTATTGGTTCCGTTTTATTTCTTTGTCGTTTAAACACTGCAACTTAGCGTATCCTTATCGATAATTTATTCAGTTTTCTATTGCGTTTTTAATTAACTGCGACTTTGCATGGCTTTAGCCTTTTGATTATTCATATTGCAGATGGTACAAGGTCATAAGATAACAAAGATATCACGGCGTACGAGTGTCGTGGTTACCTCTCTTTATTTTGCACCCTACACGCTCTTATCATAACAATTCCGACTTTTACCTTTTTAGGGGAGTTAGGGTTCCAAGAATTACCATTAATTGCAAAGACAAATAAGAGCCCTCGAAGATTTGCCTCGCCCCCATGCCAGGCTCAGTTGGTAGCAGCGCCCGAGTGGTTTCTAGAAAGCACAAATTCGAATCCCGTCTTACCCTGAACATTTTCATTTGCTAAAATTGCAAATAGTAGACTTACCTGAACAACCAATTCTAAACTTTACAACTGTTTTTACATACTCTCCTTTAACCTGTCTACCAACCAATTGATTACAGAAGAGATAAATATAGAACATGTTACGTATCTATTTCGTGTAATTGTTTCAGGAAAATTTGATATTTCCAACAATCAGTGAGAAAAAAACCTCGTAAAAGGATGAGTGAATTTGAATTGAATTATCAATCACTAAGTTCATGATATCTGGTTTGCGTGTTGGGAAAGGCTTTCATGATCTACACCATATACAATGTATTTCGTTTTGTTTGCTATTTACGTAGGTGTTATCCTACTGTTTCATCAGTGCTTGATATCTATGCATTTTACCTCACAAAAGACATGATATTTAAACCGTCTTTCTCGCTTTCTCGTTCATATGTCTTATGCTTAAGCCAGAGTTTGTATAGAGCTTATCACCATTAGACAGAATAGCCAAAAGCAGCACTTAAAGGGAAAATTTCTCTAAAGAGAAAAAAAAAAAAAAAAAAAAAAAAAAAAGGAAAAAAATGGAACCGAGTGAAAACATGGTTGACTGGGAAAATCTAGTGATTCCATCTGGCCAGGTGTCGACGTTCCTCAAAAAGAGTTACTGGCATCTTATTGCTCCTTACTGTATCAAAGCTGAATCAAACACGAGGTCGATGAGAATGAAGGATATGATCGCTTACTGAAGAAATATTTGACTGTGATACAAATTCACGATGTCAGTATCATTACAAAATGAATAGAGAATTTATATGGCGAGTTGTTTGCTGTTAAGGTGTAAAGGGTTACTCTTATCTTAACTAGAATTTCTGTTTCGCTTCTCTTTACTGTTCAGTGTGTGTAGGCGGTCTAAAGACGACAATGGAGAGGCAAACGTCCAGTCACTCTTGAAACTGCGGTGTCCGGAGGAAGGGGAGTTTTCTAGTTGTGCTCTTACCATGGTGGAGCAACCGTGAAATTCGGGTCACCTGATAAACGAGAACGGTCCAGTTAAGAATAAGGGTAGACAAGTACGTGGTCAGGTGCAGGTGGGAGAACGCAATGCAATGTCCAGTTTCTCGAAAGATAACGCTTGTGGGATCATACTGTGGTATATCAAAACCAACATCCAACGCGTCCCTTTCACCACCAAAGACAGTTAAGCAATATAAAACATTTTCCCAGGCTCTATAACGTATTAGTATGATTTCAGAGCTGAACAAAGTGTTTCCAGCAATCTGATTGGTCGAGCGGTTCCTTATATGACGCTTTCTAAACCGCTCCGCGCGGTTTATACAAAATGTTAAACTAAAATGTTAATAAATGTTACTAAAATGTTATGATTTTAGAAATTTCTCTGTTGTTCAGCTCTGAAATTATACTAAAACCAATTATTCGCCTCAGGTTCGGTGAATATTGTCGAATAATCCCCTCGACTTCGTCTGAGTGTTGGGAGAACACTCAGAATTCTTATGAACCACTCGCCTTCGGCCCTTGATTTGTAAGCTTTGCTTTTCTCGCGTTGAATTACTTTTATGACACAACTATTTACATGCGGGCTCTATAACCTGATAAAACATCCGTTTGGAAACTGAATTGACCAATCAGACGATGCTTTCTATGTTCATTATGTTATTATCTAAGAAAAAAACTTCGCCTAGACTCCTACTTGGGGAATCACTAGCAGGGAGATCGTCGTTAAGTTGGCATCGATCGTCGAACAACTCGACCCCAAACAAGCAATCAACGATGCGCGGGAGAGCTTTTAAAAAGAGTGTCACGTTGACGCTTGCGCAGAAGCGTTTTTTGCATTTTGAAAAAAAAAATGGACAACTTTTTAAAAATGGTCGGAGATTCTTTATTAGCGAAATCAAAACAATTGGAAAGAACTCTTAAGTTCTTTCCAATTGTTTTGATTTCGCTAATACTGTGATTTTTTACACACGGTCGTCCTTTTTGAATATCGTCTACAGCCTTAAAAGGCTGCAGACGATATTCAAAATGCAGACGATAAAAGGCTGCAGACGATATTCAAAATGTGCAAAAAATCACAGTAGTAGACATCCTGCGCATGCCCACCCATGACACTGTCTGTTCAAAGACGCTCCCCAATAGGCAAAGACATTAAAGCCCACGTCAAAATGGAAATTTCAAACAAGACACTCTAAAAGAGAATCAGTCCATCATGGTCCTCTCAGCGGACGAAAGGGTGCACGGTTGCAGTCATGGATACCGACACCTTTCATGCCAAGGTCTTCCCTAATCGAAAACAGACCCTACGAAATGATACGTGGCAAATCCTTTAAGTAGGACGTTCTCCGCGAGGTTGTTTACTCTAAAGCGAAGCGGACATATCGAATCAAGAGGCCGGTTACGACGAACACAGAACTCCAAACAAACAGCCTCGTGGAATCTACCGTTTGTCAAAGATCCATGACCTTGATGCATTATTATCATTTTCACCAAAGCAAGAAAAATGATCTTGATATTTTTTTTTCTCGAACACTTCCTGGCATAGTGAACGAAAGGAATCTAAAGGCACATTTTTTTCTAATTTTAACAAGATTCGAGTTCAGTTCGCCATTTCCTTCTTAGCGACGGAGGAGGCAATTGGGTTGGACGTGTTTGGATCAATGGCGCAATGTGCGAGCTCAGTGGCGCAGTGGTCTAATGGTCAGTGCATTGGACTCCCGGTCGAGAGGTCTGGGTTCGAGACCTGGCCGGGTCCATGCGCTGTCTTCTTAGGCGAGAAACTTTACTCGTATAGTGCCTCTAAAGGGTGGTGTCTCGCGTGGGTCTCTGTGTCCCGCGTGGGTCTCTGTGTCCCGCGTGGGTCCCTGAGTCCCTGAGTCCCGTTAGCACCAACCCTAATTTGTCTAATACTTCTATGGTCATACCCAATAAAGCTGTTAAAAAAATAATAAAGAAAACAAACTAAAGTAACACTTGCTTTAAATTCAGATATTTTATTGTAAAAAAAGATACATACTACTTTCAAGTCTGCCCTATTTACATCGTGGAATCTACATAATTTAAATTATGATTAAAATACAAAAAACAAAAATGAGGACTTAACAAATCTGTGTATTGCCTATGGTTTACAACATAGTGCAATTAAAAAGGAAATTCTACCTGAAGCTTATAGCAACAATTGCTGCGCTCGACAGTGCAAATACTTAATCTGATGTATAATATGAAAAGGCTCTTTGAATCTAGACAAAATTTTAGCTTGGAAAAAAATAATTTCTCTCAGAGGTCTCTTTCAAAGACATAAAGAGTGGCAACCTATAACACTCAGTTCACCAGGTCTTCAATTTGATAAGTATAAAAAAAACATGGAGTCTTCAATTCAACTTTGAAAATTAATTACTTATAACTTGTGTCAGTATGTCTTACACTGAACTTCACTAGGAGTCTTCTTTCCTACTCGAAAACTGCTATTATTTCTGGAGACCCTTTTTTGTTTTGTTAGTCTAAGAGTAGGTGTGCCTTACTGTCATTTTGCCTCATATAGAGTAAACATCTGAGTTTTCACACTTCAAAATGACAAGATGAGAACTAATCTGGGATATACTACACCAGTCCCCTTGGTAATGCTTGAATTTTAGTGTTGCATGCATTTTGGCTACTTTTGTTGGCCATTACCCCAGTAATTAAAAATAAATTTTTTTCTATTCACCAGTGAAAGACAGCCACGTAAATATATTTAGATCCAAATTAAAAAGTAACTTTGCAAAGTGTTAAATTAATCACAAAAATTTTCCCTAATTAATGTTTCTTTCAGAATTGTAAAATACTCTTTTTTTCACTAGAAAAGCAGAAATTTTAATTCTCCTAATCTTGAGAATGAGGATTCAAAAATGACATCAAAGAGAGATGTGGGTGGACAAAAACTTCCTGATGAGATTTTTTGCCATCAAATCTCACCTTAAGTCTTGGGACACCTTGCAGTTAATGGAGTAAAAAATGTTTATTATCTCCTTTCATTTCTTTGGCCATTACTTTCAATTCTATGCAGGTTTCAAAATTTTTAACACTCACTGGACGTTTCCAACAATTCAGGCAAGCAATAAGCCAACCAGATGGTCAATATACATTGCACAAAGGTATTTACAAGTACACAAACAAATTTAATAATTGATTCTGACCTGTTCATCATAAAAGACTTTCCTTTGACTTGTAATTCTTTCTTGGTGCTCTCCTAGTTCATAAAACTCACTGATAAAGTATTCTTGGTGAGATTTTACTACAAAGACTGCAGAGTACTAAAAATTAATATAACGCTTTGATGCACTTTCATAGCTCTGCAACCAGCTACATTGAAAGGTATGTTTGTTGTAGTAAAATGATTCCAGGTTAAAATAACTTCACAAAAGTTTGATTTGTATTTCATTTCTCTTTGTTTCATGAATATAAATTATTAATGGTAATTAACCTTGAACATGTAGAAGAAAAACAATTCAAACCGGCTTAAAATCATTTAAACTTGTAATTCAAACTACAACCATGCTTACATCTAACACTGCTAAAATATGACCATCTCCTAATAAAAACAAACATTTTGTGCCATAAAATGGGAAGGTGCTCTACTCAATCCCAACCATTACAAAACTGTACGAGATGAACACATTTTGGCCCTCAGACAGTGGCCATAATAAGAAGGTCCCACTGTGAAATATGAAACTGTTTTGCTTCAACAAACCAGAGGCTATAAGACTTGACAGGGGTACAAACTGTAAAAAAAAAAGGTACCAACATTCTGATTGGGTGTGGTTTGCCTTGCAGGTAGAGAAATCCTTGATATCCTATTTAGTTCTTCTAGGCTAGCAAACACTATGTCTGAAACTTTTCATCATGTCAGCAAGGGATGTAGAGTTTGCTGTGCTACGGATGAAAGAATGATTGAGAAGTTCAAATGCAGAAGCTCTTTGCGTTGGATCACGCTCTAGGGTCTTTTCCAAAAATGACAGCATTCGAGGAGACATCTGCAAAACAAGAGACGAAGGTGAAAATGGTTATGCAAAGAACTAACAAACAGCACCTGAAGTATTCAGGTACATGCACAGTCAACTTGTTTTCTTCTACATCCAGTTCTTTCTCCTTTGGTGTAGGAGATACCAACAGATTATATGGTAAAATCAAGGCAGTTTGCCCTTTCTGCTGTCCACAATCATTGTTCTGCAAGACTTAATGACTAATTTTAAGCATATATAACTAATAGACCATGCATCAGGAACAGTAGTCACAGGTTACGTCAAAATTATTATTTTGTAAGAAAAAACCGGATTTTTTAGCTCCCTTTTTATTTTAAGCTGACGCATACGCTTACCATATTTGTAGATTATGGTATATTGGCTCATATACCATAATGGCTAAGCCAATAAAAAGTCTTGAATTGCATTATCCAATGATCCAGTTTTTAATAAATAACTAATAGACCATGCATCAGGAACAGGAGTCACAGGTTACGTCAAAATGTGGTACTGTAATAACAAAAGTGTCACATGAGGCCTAGCTAAGTGTGCCACGGTGTTCTTACCACACTTTGATGAACAGATGCGCAGTAATGAGGAATCTGTTTGTTCTATGTAGTACTGTAGACCATTTGTTAATGGTGATATCATCTTTATATCTCCTCTGATATCTCATAAGAACCAATCAGAACATGCATAGCATTCAATTTATTATATAAATGTTTATAGTAACTGTAGCCTTGACTCTTTGAATACTGACACTTCAAATGCTATTAATAATAATAAAAGCCACTGTCATTTTTTAAAATATTTTTTTAAATTTTAAAGCCTCTCTAGTAATAGTGCACTCACCTCATCATTCATAGTTGAGATTGGAGGATCCAAGTCCCTTAACTTTCTCATGGCTTGCAATGGCGGCTCACTAAAATAAGGTGGCTCTCCATCAATCATCTCAAGAACCATAATTCCAAGAGACCAAATATCAGCCTTGTGAAGGAAAAAATCAAATAAAATCAAGGAAACTTTAATATCGAAAGGAAAGCCAGAAAGATAAGAAATAAACTGTATTAAACTGTCTATATAAAAGGTTTCTACTTGGGAAAGTAATTGAAACCATTACTTGAACAAAGGTTTACACTGTAAAAATAAACTTTTGTCCAATTGCATGGTCATGATTTAAGTGCAATTTACATGACTGTATGTTGGGTGAAACTCAACTTTACAATAATAAAGTGAATTGCTATTGACACAGTACAAAATAAATGTAGGTTAAAGAGATGGAGAGCCATCTTATTTTCTAGAGAGAGTTTTTGCCATATTCTTACCTCTGTACCATATGGTTGTCTTGATATCACTTCTGGTGCCATCCAGTATGGAGTGCCAACAAGAGATTTTCTTCTAGGCATATCTTCAGTGACTTGTGCACAGAAACCAAAGTCAGAGAGCTTTACCTAACAATAGTAAATAACACGAAAAAAAAATTGTCATTTTTGACTACATGTAAAATAATACATTGCAAATGAGTCAGCCAGACTTAAAAGTTATCTTGGTAATGATCTCTAGTAATTCTATAGTTATCAGTAATACCTAGAGACATGGTGCAGTCTGTATGAACAAAGATTCACTAAAGGCAGAGTGTTTCATTCCTTTATATAATTTTGCATATTAGTGATATAAACAAACCCACACAAAAAAGCCACACTATATTGCTTCATGAAAGTGCAATTGTGCCGATCAAGTGCCACTGAAAATATTTCTGCAAGGCCTACCACTACATTGCATGCAAGGCACAAGGCTAAGCTATCAGAACAAAGTATCTCTGCCTAGAAATTGTCTGGACAGCATACATACATACCGGGTACATGTTAATCGAGCACTCCCCATGGGGGCTTTTCAGGGCCACTTCCCACCCAGCAACCACCCCAGGAGAGGACATCCATCACACAGTATTCTTGTGCGTGGGAAATTAATGTCTCCTACCCCTAACCCTGCAGAAGACAGGACCTCCATTTATTTGTCCAATCTGAGAAGACTAGAGTATCTAACCATTTCTTGATATAGAAAGGTAGCATATTCTCCTCACTTGTTTTAAGACCTTGAGTGTTGGTCTGGCTGGGGCTCGAATCCTCAACCTCCCGCACTACAGTCCAGAGCTCTATCCCTTGAGCTAACTGGGAGGCAGTCAGCAAAAGCTACCATTCCAATGGAATTTTTTAAGTTAAGTGTGGTTGTTGGAATTTGATTTCATTCTTGGCTTAATTATCTGTACTTTCCTCCTTATCCATTTGCCCTCAGAGTGCTTAGTAGCTAGTTTCTCTATACAATGTCACCTTTAAATCAAACATGAAGGTAATGAGAAGATAGGAAATGATCCCCAGCTAAGAGGGTTCTTGATTTTTGAAGAGATTTTCCTTGTTAGCTCCTTAGGAAATGTATTATAGAGAACAGTATGAAGACTATGCATACTGATGTTAGGTGTACCAAGTTAAGGAAAAGCTGTCGGCAAGAATGTAGCTTAATACAAACAATCTGATTGTCTGGCCATGTAACACAAAAGAGCTTCAAAAAATTTTTAAGTCACTGTACTGTGTATCAGTGCCAGTTGTAATTTGGTGTGTTTGATTTTTATGGAAAGAAGAAAACTGGTGAATCCAAACACATGAAAAACCCTTGGATAGTGTAAAACAAGGTAAAAATTGTCTTAATCTACCCATCAAGTATTTGTGACATACCTGCCCACTTGTGGTCAGCAGAATGCTGTCACTCTTGATGTCTCTGTGGATGACTCCCTGAGGATGCAGGAAAGCAAGAGCTTTCAGCACAGCACGGCATACACAAGATACCTGTTCTTCAGACAGACTGGGAGAAAAAATAGTTACACTTGTCAAAAAGAAATTTGTTTTGATAACTTTCATGCATATACAGTGGTAGAGTAATGATGCAAGATGCATAACCAATATTTGAGCTTTCAGTGTTCTACAATCATGCAGTAGATGACTGAATTACACAAGGTTTAATGGCCTTTATCAGCCTGGGGCTAGTGTATTCCAGTTTCAATCAGTGGCTGCATGAATGTTATGTGTCAACAAGTTTTGTGGTTGATTGTTCCCTACATGTACACTTATAGGTACTCTCCTTTCGGCAGAAGACAAGCAAGGTATGAAAAATTTAGTGCACTCAATGGACCCTGGTTCAAGCCTTGGATAAGACCACTGAGACCTTTCCCTATCTTATAGGTAACAGTAGGGAAAGCAATTAAATTTCAGTGTCTCTCATTCTCCATTAGCAAGTACAATCTGCTACCTACAAAGTGTCAGGACTAACTAGTGACATGTAGGCTATCTCTAATGGATTGGCTTTGAGGAGATATTATATAGTTTACCTCCTAAATGACATTTAAATGCGGCTTCATTTAGGTTCCTCAAGAACTCAGTTTAAACTGCTGATTATAAGCCATCCGCTTCTACAACTTCATAACGGGGTTTAGGAGGGCTTATATCCAAGGGGCTTATATCCAAGCGGCTTATATCCAAGGGGCTTATATCCAAGGGGCTTATATCCAAGGGGCTTATATCCAAGGGGCTTATATCCAAGGAGCTTATATCCAAGGGGCTTATATCCAAGGGGTTTATATCCAAGGGGCTTATAAATGGAGGGGCTCCTATCCAAGGGGCTTATAACTAGAATATAAAAAAAAGACACTTTGAAATAAGCTATGGCAGTGCTGATTAATTACTGGTTTGAAATCAAACTACAAAACTTACTTCCCAAGAAGTCAAGTTCCTACCTCTGAAAATGAGAAAACCCAGAAGGGTCTTATACTGAGGAGGAGGAGGTAGGGCTTTTTTTTTTTTTAACAAGAAGGTGGGCATATAACCTGGGGTGGGAGGGAGGGGAGGGTACAGTATAAGCAGCAGTTCATAGCAGGTCACTGATTGATCAAAATCTACTTTGCCCAATGCTCCAAATTTTCAACCCTTTTAAATACAACATTGTAGCTTTCATTGATTACTTAAATTATTGACATCTACTTCTTCTCACTTTGTATGAGTGATAATATCTGTTAGAGAGCCTCCTTCAAGAAATTCCATCACCACCCAAAGCTCATCTTCCACAAGGTAACTTCCGTACATTTCTACAATGTTAGGATGTGGGTAATCTCTCATGATCACAACCTAAAAAGAAAAACAATATACATTCACGGTTCTTGCACTTTTTCAGAAACCTAATTCAAGGACTTTCAAGGACTTTTCAGGTCATTTTCAAGGACCCTGACCCTCAGATTCAAGGACCTTTTGCATTAAATAGGAGTTAATAGAAATAAAAAACATTGTTATATATTGCTTTTCAATAACACAAGCATGCGTGCAAGACCGGCCAAAAAGTCCAACGAGCATAACCTCAAGCATGCACATCAGAGTGATCACCTACTAGGTAACCAACTGAAGGTTATTTTCAATGCACCAATCAGGTACAAAATATATAAAAATCATGTGTCAAACATCATACATCACATGTATGATTTGAAAGGAAAACTGGTTTTTGCAATTTGTGCCAGAAAACTTACACTTTTAAGACTGAAAACAAAAGAAAACTTCAACTTTGATTCATCAGCACTCATTTTCAAGGACTTTGCAGAAATTTTCAAGGAACCATTTTCAAGTCCTTGAAAACAAAAATTAAATTCAAGGACTTTCAAGGACTTTCAAGGAGTGCAGGTACCCCATACAATACAAGTCTTTAGTTGGAATAAAAACAGCTTAACTAGTAACAGCTTCACATTTGAATATATATACATAGAATTTGCAACTTAGAAGTCAATAAATTATTATTATTATTATTATTATTGGTAGCCAAGATCTACAATCTTGGACAAAACTATTTAAAACATCATAAATCATTATTTTACACTTCTCTTGTGTAAAATAAAATTATTTGATTACATTGACCTCTCCCCTTCCTTTGGATTGATGTTGCCTTGTTTACACTGTGATCTTTACTTAACATATAAATGCCTTTAAAACTACTGGACAAGGGTAATGGAGGAAAAAAAAAGCTTGCAGAGACATTTCATTGATTTTTAAGAAGGTCAAAGCTTGTTTTTGTCTATAGAAAGGATGTTGATGTAACAGTGCTCCCTTATCACATTAATCTACAAAGTACAGAAACTTGAAAAAACTTGGAAACTTGGAGAAATTTATCATCAATTTCCAACTGATCCAACCAAAAAGAAAACAAAGCAACAAACAAAAGGCAAACACACAGTTTTACATACAGGCAGAAAATAACAGAGTAAAAGGACAAAAACAGAATTCTATTTGATGTTAACATAAGTATGTATTTTGATACAAAAAATATATATTTCAGAGCTACACTCAAAACCTAAATTAAGCAGTCACCCACGGGGAACGGACACAGTGTAGGTTACCATTAAATTCTTTAACCCCTAACAGTGACTAGCATCTAATTTCTCCTAACAATATCACCCCTGATCCACACATCAGGGCCATGAGAATAAAGGAAATGATCACCAGCTAAGGAAGCTCTTGATTGTTAAACAAGTTCTCCTTGTCAGAACCTTACGAAATGTACAGTATGAACAGTGTGGAGAAAATACTTATGCAGGTTGACTGCTTAAAATGAAGCCACTTTATACAGGTTCAACTGCAATGCTGTGCTCTAAGAAAAAGTGAAGGGAGCCCACTGCTCAGAAACTTTGAATTGCAGGAAGCCCAACATATGCTTTTAAATGAGAAAACTAAAATTCCTAAGTTTCCAAGAGTGAAAGTAAGGTGCCAGGGGCCACTGGGCACTGCTAGGTCACAGCCCTGAGCTGTGTTGTTAGGCCTATTTAGTGAGATGATCAAGCTGGAATCTCCTTAAAGATTTTTCAGAGATAAGAAGAATCTTACAGAATGTTAAAAACAGCTCCTGTAGCTTCATCAACTTTAGTGGTGTAGATGTTGGTAAAAATAAAATTCACAGCCAGGAGGATTTTTTAATTTACTCAAAGCCGTTTATCTAAATAAAGTATCTTTTTCAACCAATAGGAAAAGTAGATTTTTTATTTGCATTGTCATCCAATCTTAATCCGCTTTCATTGATTAACAACAGATGAACATTCTAGTCACGGTTATATGTAGCAAAGATATCTTTTGACATAAAATGGAATTTGCAATGTGTTTACCATGTTGAGAGTACAAACATCAATAAATACTTTGTAAAAGGATAGAACACGTTTTTAAACATCTAACATCGAAAATAACCTTTTGGCAAACACAAGTGTAATGAATATCCTATTAGGAAGATAACCGTCCATTGATGTGATTAGTTACCAAAATATTTCGCCACACACTTGGAACACCATTAAACTAACTGAATTCTTGTGAACCCAGGGGAACGTATCTAAGACCACAAAATCATCATTAACAGCACTCACGCGTGTAAAAAGAATTCATCAAGGGAAGATCGTTCAATATTTATCACGTAATAATAACATGCAACACTCCAACGATCAAGTATAATAACCTTAGATTTATCTTTTGCCAATTTACATAGAAACTTCGCGATTACGACCTTACATCTTAGTTTACACAAGCAATAACTTTTCGCCAATAATAACAGCCCCTTTTAATGTACAACTGCTGTAAAACAACTAAGTATTTTAGCTGTTACATAGTGTTTCGTGACCACTCGAGCTTCAGACGACGACATTTCATAAATAACGGACGTCTCTACTAGACAAATCGACTTCCCGAAAATCGCATATTTGAGATGGCAATAGAATCTAGTTAGAACTAATAGGAATGCAATTATCCTTAAAAAAAATAAAGCTGGATCATTCGCTGTTAAGCGTACGTACCTCATTAAATAGCAGTTCCCTTCGTTGTTGTTTTTTCAAATCCATTTTCTTCACTGCAACTTGGCGTTTAGTTTTGTTATCACGAGCAAGACAAACAACCCCGGTCGAGCCCTCGCCGATTTTAATAAAATTGTCGAGATTCTCCGGAGGACCAGTTGAAGTAACAACTAACTCTAGCGCTTTCCGAAACTGCTCGTGACTGACTGGGGAATCAGAATACATAAGTCTTGTCTTGGAAGAGCTTCGGAGGTCTTCGCCATTGTTTTCTCCAGAGTCTGTGCTTGCCGAGCCATAATCAGAACTTGCAGAAGTCTCTCTCTGTATACCCGAGATCTTTTGCTGTCGATTAATTTCCCTGCCATTATGCGAGCGTTCGTGGCCTTGTGAAAATCGGCGACTGTTTTCTCAGGGATGTTCTGGAATATATTCCGGCCGTGGCACTTTCCCGTTGGACACGCGCGAGGAATCCACGTCTTCGGAAAGTTCTGTATTCGTTCTCTCTCGCCGTCTGGCCGATGGCCTTGAGTCTTGATTGACTCGGAATGAATTTCGAAGTGAATTTGAGCGAGAAACGGAGATAACCTTCGAAGCTGGACCCTTAGACGTTTCGGAGTTCAGTAAACTCCATTGGGATTTTCTCAGAGGCGAAACTTGAGTGATGATTTCTGGATCGACAATCGGTTTAGGTCTGTTTTGAGTTTCCCTCTGTATTCCAAGCAGTGCTTCCCACTGTGGTGGTAGACCGATAAATTTACCCGTTTGCTTATCATATCCAGTGTGAAATCGATGTTCAAAATTCTGAGGTTGTGAGATCTCGACGCGCTTGCGTTTCTTAAACATTCGCGTGAACATCTTGGCACAGAGGAATTAGAGCCAGCCGTGAAAAGGTGCACCAGGTTGAATCACGATTTATCTTACTCGTACTGATTGAGTGGTAACTATAGGACCGATAAAATTTTACATCCAGGAAGAAATTCGAACTCATGAACTACTGTTACTATTGAGTGCCTCTCCATGTCAGTTATACTCGGGAGAATTCGGAAACCGAATATTCGACGGAGTTTTTACGCTCCGAGTTCAACGGCCAATATTTGAGCACGCCAGTAGTCCTGTCCAGAGGTTTTCGGTATAAGTAGCCATGTGACCTCGCCGCGATGAACACCAAGTTGGACGTAGTAAAAAACAGCGAAGTGTTCTTTAGATGGAATTTAACATGGAAATCGGCAACGAGATCGGCCAAAAGATAAGGGTAAGTATCTGCGATAATGTTAGATTTATTCGGTAGCTGGTAAGTTCTCAATAGACGAGGCTACAGGTTTGGTTTGTGTGCCATTCAAGCTCATCGACAAGCTCATCGACCACCCCATCTGGAAGGCGCCATATTTGTTATTAACTTTCAGCTGAATAATACACCACACAACATCTGTCTTGGCCGTTAAATTATATTTTTGAAAGTCATGCAAAACACAAACACATATCATCAGCTCTCCTCATTAGACAGTCACTAATATTTCATTATTACACGACTTGGGCAGTCAGAGGGCCAATAACTAAAATCAACCAATCAAAATGCTCTATTTCTGGTCAATATTCTCTCAGTATTGGACCAGGCACTGTCCCGAATGGTCTTGAATGATACCACAATTGCGTCCCTTTGAACTTCTGTCGTATAATAAATCTCTTATTAACCAAGCTTGCTCGGGACTGTACTGGAAGAATATCAGCCCTCAAGTCTTTTTTGTATGGACCTTGCTGCGCTCGGTCTGTACTGTCAAGACCTCGGGCCAATATTCTCCCAATACGGCCCTTGTGCTTGGTTAATAAGATATAAATAAACTTTTCATATTCAAGTTTTTAATATTGAGGAAGTGTTTTGGAATTTGTTTTCATTGTTGATACTCTATTGGCGATACTCTTTTTAGTGAAGCTCTGTATTTTCTACAAGGCTATTATTGCCCAGACTGTTAAAGTAGCGAAGTAACTACACAATACAGGGCCACTTTTGAAGGAGCACATGTGTAAATCTTGGGGCTCATTTGCTTCACTTAACTTGGCATTGAATGAAAGAATGAGTAATACACTATACAGGCATTTAGTCTTAGGTTTATAGATTTGGTGAACAAAGGGGGTTAGTTTCTAAAAAAAATGTGGTGCTGTGTCATTGGGAGAGTAAAACAAAATACTCTTGGTGTTATTAACTGAGTTGATAACACCAAAATTATCACCGTAAAGAGTTTCTATAGCTGATGTTTTGAGCATTAGCCCTTTGTCAGAGCAAATGACACAGGGCTAATGATTTAAAACTCTTAATGGTGACCAATTTCAATTATCAACTCAGTTGATAAAACTAAAGTTAACCATACATTTAGTGGCTTATTTGGCTTAGCAAACCTATTGAGCTGGAATACAAACCTAATGAGCTGGCTTTCTAGGTGGATGGTTAAAAGTGGCCCTGTATTCTGTACATGTAGTTGAGCCAAAATATAATTGAAGACTTAAGTGCTCAGATTTTTATAATGGAAAACTTTTCAGAGTGCTGTCAAAACAAAACTAAGAGAACTTGGATCTTATGTTGGTAAGTTATACAAAATTTATTATTACCGTATGAGTAGTAATTAAAGAAAACAAAATGAAATATGAACTTCATATATTTATTTTAACCAAAATGAAATGTTGGCTGGCATGATTCTGTATGTATCTGCACTTTGGTGATTTACTTGTTTGAATTTTACTCAACTTGTTACAATTGAACAATGATTATCCAGACTTGTTGGGACTAGATGAAATAGTCCCAATAATCAAGGGTCCAGATAGTCGAGAATATGACTATTAATGAGGAATGAAACCTGATGAAATTAAGAATGCGACAGTTAATTGTGAAACAAAACATTTACAAATTGTTCTGAAAAAATATGGTTATCGAACAAGCCAATAGAGTGTGAAATCTCTTTAGGCAACAATGCAACTCTAAGCCAATCAGACCTCATTCAAATGTTCTTAATTAGTTATAATGTGTGTGAATGCTGGTTTTGCTTTTTGAAAGTGAAACAAAGTTGCCTTTACTTCACCTTTCAATACTCGAGTTTTGAAAAGAATATGGCTATGGAATGTTAGCCTGCAGAGCAGGCGTTCTAGTGGAGTTTGGGTGAAAGTTGACCATGTGAAAAATAGAGGAGGGAGTGGGAGAGGAGAGAAAGGAACGCCTGCCAGCGGTACTTGAAAATTTGAAAAACCCCCTAATTAGATATGCTGGAGTAACGATCATGGCGCAAACATTTGGCCAATCAGGTAGTGCGACAGAAGTGGAGTTTCACTTCTGTTGCAAACACACACATGTGAAAACTTCGCGCTTGTCAAAACTTGTCAAAAATTGGATTGTTGATATGTTGCTGAATGAAAATTGTCGGTTATGTGGCTGCAGTTTAAAAGTTAAATATGGCTCATACATATCATCAGAAAATTTATTCAGAGCAGTGAAGAGAAGTGAATGCTTATGGAGTAATTTTATCAGATGTGTGTGCTCGAATTGGCATCAAACTCATTCAAAACAATGAACAGCTCTCCGAGCGCTGTTGCAATCCTTGTGAAAGGAAAGTCAGAAACTTGGGACAGTTACATGCATTCATCCTTAAGAATACAAATGGTCAATGCAAAACTCCAGAAAAGCCCAAAAGTGGAAAGAAGCAGCAATTAAATACACCAAACAAATCTAGCCTGGCATGGAGTAAGAAGAAAGCCGCTTGTATACACTCACCCAAACTACGAACACCGAAATCCAGAAAATCCCTGAATATGAGTGAGAATCTGGACCCAGCTTCATCGAAGACAAACAAACCGAGGAAAGACGACGATTTGGACACTTTTTTTAAACGTAGATGATCTTCCAGAGGATGGATTACAAGTTAAAGCCGTGACAAGAATGGCGAATGGCCTGGTAATAGTTAGAATTCCACGTGAGGGAGAAACTAAAAAACTTGCGAAACACATCAATTAAACAAACTGGAGAACTGCTGTGAGATGTCTTTTCTTCCATGAGGAAATCTTATAAGAACTTAGAGAGATTCCTCAGGCATCAAAAGTAGCTAAAGAAACCTTCAACACAAGATCTATCTCTTCTTCGCTGAATGCCACATTGGATGTGATCCGTGGCAATGACAAACATGAAATGACGTCACATCCTGCTGTTAATAAAATATTCCTCTGGACCAATCAGAATTGCCTGTTCCTGAGCGAACAGGTTTTTCAAATTTTCAAATACTGCTGGCAGGTATTCCTTTCTCTCCTCTCCTCCTCCCCCTACCTCCTAATTTTTTGCCTCGCTCTATTTTTTGTGTGGTCTAACTTTCACCCAAACTCCACTAGAATGCCTACTCTGCAGGCTACAGAATGTGATCATGACCAGTAAATATTCATGACCAAATTGGGAATAGCGAAAAAGTCCAGATAGTTGAGGTCCAGACAATTGAGGTTCGACTGTAAACCCTAACTGTGACTAGTATCTAATTTTGCCATAAAATATCACATCTGATTTACATATTAGGTTTACAAGAATAAAGGAAATTATCATCAAACATATTAGCTTGTGACTTTTAAACAAATTCTCCTTGTCAGCTTATAAGGAAATGTATAGAGAACAGTATGGAGAATATGCATACTGATGTTAGGGTGTAAAGTGTTAAAAACTTGTAACCCTTTGATTTGCAAATTGTTTTTTTTTTTTTCGAAGATGAGGAATTGCCAGATTATATTATGGTTATGCTGGCCAACAAGAGGAGTAAAGAACAGATGACAGAGGACCTGGTGTTATTTCTAGGTGCTAATACAACAGTCTTCACTGAGTGGTAAGTAAAAAGAGTACGAACATTTTGTCATATATGTCACTAAACTGAGTGCAGGCTTTTTATTAGAAATGCAGTGGTAGAAGTATAACTAGTGTAAAGTAGGAGGAAATTCAGGGCTGTGCACAAAGAAAAATGATTGAAGAGAGCCCACTACTCTAAAATTGAGACATCAAGGATGCACAGTGTATGATTTTTTGTGTTTAGTTGTCTAAGTGTAAACTAAGGTGCCAGGGGCTTCTAGGTGCTGGTAAAGCACAGCTTTGAGACTAGTCCTTCATTATAAAAGCATGCTTATCAATCTGAAATTTGTTTAAAGTTTTGTAGACCGTGAGCCTCTGTAAGCTTCTGACCAAAAGTATCCTGGTGTGCTATTTAATATATTGGCATAAAGTTTAGAATTCATTCACTTCCTGGCTCCAGATTTATGTGTTGTACTAAAATACCAGGAAAAGTACAAATCAACTTAATTGAACTGTTTGTTCACCTGAGTTACAGTTTGTATTTAAAGACAAAAAGCAAAAAAAGTGAGCCTGACAAGTTGGCATGCTGACTAAGAAAATAATGTATATTGTAGAGAAAAAAAAACATCAATTTACAATTTACTCATGTTATATCGTACAAGTAATTCTTGTGAAAACTATTTGCCCATAGTTTAGAGCTCAAGAATTGCAAAATGCATGAATGGCAGGAATGCCATTATATGCAGTCACACAGATGTTGTGGTCCAATTATTGTCTTGGTGTTATATCCACTAGACCAGTTTGGTACTTATGTTATTTATATTTAGTGCTCATTATCATAGCAAGAAACAAAGGGAAATAAAGATCGAGCTGGTTTAACAGATTAAACCCTAAAAGTAAAAGTTGACTGCAACACATAATTGTGCATTTTCACAACTGTATGAATTTCTTTACTGGTTGTTCATAAAGTCTTCACTTTTGTTTTTTTGGTAGGCTTGTGAACATAATACAAAAAATTCAAGATGTAACAAGTTTACAAGGTATGCTAAATAGTGAAGCTACATTGAACCTTTCATTTGGAAACTTTTTCACAGCACAGAGCTGTTGATAGAAATCTTAGGCTGATCAGACAAGGAAAAGTCCCTCACTGATCGACATGTTCTATTTTAATTTTATTTTTTTATGTTTTTATTTTTTTATGTCTCTAATGTTTTATTATTATTTTTATTTATTTTTTCCAGAAAATACAGAAGAGTTAAGTTTATTGGCCAATGAACCTGTCAAATCAGCCCAGACAGTGAAGACAGAGTCTGTCAAAAACAAGGACAAGAAGGATGCTAACCCAAAGACTTCAGCTAAAGAGAGACGCAGAAGCCCTCACAGAACAGAGCCAAGGGAGGAGCATCAAAGACATGCTTCAAAGTCTTCTGAAAAGATAGAAAGTTTGTACCCTAATGATACACCATTATGAAAGGCAGAAAGTATAATTGAGAGTTGAAAATCCAAGAAGAAATCAATCAATCATTTAATAGATATCTATCAATGGTTATGATAAATCAAGCCACATAGAGCCACAGTGTGACTTACCCTCCGTAATACCATGCACCATTGTTATCTGTAATACTGGTAACAAGCCTACCCTAAGTGTGCTTGGCCAATACATTGTCCTCAAAATTTCACTTTTTCATTTGAAGTTTCACTTCTCTGCCAATTATTAATTTTTCTAAGACAATGTTTTAGCTGTTGATGTTATCAGCCGACATACAACTGTACCAGCTGCCTAAGGGGGGTTTATTTACCAGTATATAATTTATCACTTTGACACCTACTTCAAGGTGAAAAGCTGGCTGATGCATTTCTTTTTAATTTCTGTGTGTTATTTTATTCTTTTAGAGCAAAGGATAAGCACCAATGTTGTGAAGACTGTTGGTCTGTCATCAAGGGGATCAGTGCGGAAACGGAAGCACTCATCATCTGATGAAGAAGACACCAGAGCCTCTCATCTTCACAGTGTTGTGAAAGTCAAAGACCGAAAGTATGTTAAACTGTCTCTAACAGTACAGTCATGTAACTCACTGATGCATGCAGCAACAGTTTACTTTAATTTGTAGTTGAGAAAAGTCAGTGATTTAGACAGTATTTGAGGTCAGGGGAACATATCTGTAAAGATTATTTAGAAAATTTCTTTGCTTTTGGACCAAGTGTAGTTGAACCTCTTTTAAGGGACATGGTGTTTAGCTGTCATCCAGCACTAAGCTGTGGGTTTTCAAAGTCCTGAAGTTTTACCCCATAAATTAGTGTCGCCTCTTAGGCAGTCACCTCAGGTTCGATTGTGCAATCTTTGAAATGGCTCTTCAACTCTTCAATGTATTCTCCCACATATAAAACAGTCATGTACACATAAGTTTACATTTCAGTTTGTACAGATTGACACCTACAGTTATATCCCCTTCTTCAAATGGTACTGCATTCATGAATGAGTAAAAACATGTTTTAAGCTTTACTTTATATTATTCTCTGTTTGATATTGCAGGCCAACTCTCCCAACCTCTAAGCATGCCTCTGGAAATCTTCTGAAGAAAGCTGTGGCAGAAGCGCATCTTTCCGTGAACAAACCTCTTATTTCTTCCAGTCTGAAATATGACCCTACCTTGCCACCTTCTCCAATTGTATCCCATAGTTATGAAGAGAAACAGCATCAGAAAGAGTTGCTGCTGCAGCAGCACAGAGAATTACAGAAGCAGTTTTTGCAAATGAAACAGGACAGGGAGGAAAGCAAAGAAGCAATGGAAGAAGATAGTGACAAAGATATGGAAAGGGAAACTGAAGAGCCAGCGGAAAAAACCCAAAGAGATGAAGAAAGTAGAGAAAGTAAGCAGACTGAGATTAAAAAGGAACAAAATGGTTCAGAAGTCACCCAAGAACCAGAGGTACGGTGTACATAAGGGTAGCAACTCACTTTATTTCCTGTAAACACTTGCAGTCTTTTCCTTCAATTGATGCAAGCAATGAAATTTTAAGATCTTTTTATCATTCTTAAGAGCTTTGAACTGCTTTGTTATCTCTACTTTATTATCTCCATCTGTATTTTAACTAGCTGTACATGTATGTTATATTGAAAAAAAAGAAGGTTTAGTGTGTTAATTACTGGGACTCTGCAGGAGGCATAACCAACAGCACTAACTGCTTTTAATAACTGATTCCGGAAAGATGGCTCACTGACTTATGACAGACTCCCTTCAATAGATGTCAACAACTACTGGGCACCATGCAAACTACTTATTCACAACATGTACACAACAAAACAAGAGGACCTTTGTGTTACTCCTGGTTGAAAGCATCTTCTGTAATACTGCAATGCACTGTTTTCCTTTTTGCCTTGTTTGTTATTAAGATATCATTTTAAAATAACAAATACATGTTTCCCTCTCTCAAAGGAACCTGTCATTGAGCTTCATGTTTCAGAAACTGAAACACTGGAGTACTCTCCTGAGCCAGCTGTTGGTGATACCAGAATTGTAGCCTTTGCCGATAGTCAGGCTGGTGCAGAAGATTCAGATGAAGAGAGGAGGAAAAGGAAGAAAAAGCGGAGGGCTGTTAAATCTAAAAAGTATGTGTCAGGCAGGTGAAAGGAATCGTTAAAATAATAAAATAATAATATGGAGAAACACTTCGCTAGAAGCTAGTTTACAGGTTTTCCACCAAACAACTGAAACAAATAATTCAAATTGAAAACAACATTATTAAGAATCCCAACTGGCCGAAGGCAAACCAGTTGGCTACATTACAGGCACAGTGGTTTCATTAAGGGCCGGGCACCGGCCAAATTGACCACTTGTAAGGACGGTTTTGCCCGCCTGGTTTAACAATCTGGAGGAAGGTTTATTTTATAAAGAAGTTTAGTTCAAAAAGTTTTGCCCGCCTGCGAAAACCAGTTGCCCTCCCTCTGAAAAAATTAATGAAACCCCTGCAAGCATGGCCGAGGATTTGAAACTCAGGGCTACCGTGAAACAATTCCAGGTAGTGGCCAGGGCAGGACTTGAACCCGGGAGCGGCGGATCACAAGTCCGACATGCTGACCACTTGACCATGCTGCCTTCTTCGCTGCGTTAATTTGTATAGAGTGATGTTAGTTCTTTGCTGCGTTAATGAAATTGTGCCACAGGGACTGTTTTACATGCAGATGGTGTAGCATCGAACCACAGAATCAATGGGTCTGTTGATCAAATGCTTTGGGGGAATCATATATATTTTATTTCATACAAAAAATCTTTCTTTACTGATATGGTACATCTACATGCAGGTCTCTATAATTATCTGGTTCTTGACCTTATACACTGTACATCCTAACATCACTATATACACATCTTCCATACTATTCTCTTTACATTTTCTATGGTTCGGATAGGGAGAATTTGTGTAATGATCAAGAGCTTCCTAAGTTGATGATCATTTCCTTAATTCTCATGACTTGTGTTTAATTCAGCAGTGATATAGTAATGAGAAATTAGATACTAGTCACTGTTATGAGTTAAAGAGTTGGTTATTTTGGTCTAGATTCTTTGATAGTTTAGAGGGACCTTAGCTGAACCAGGATGGCAATGACAATGAGAAATTGATGAAAGAAAAGCTTCAGGGAAGAGAACAACAACTCTGTGATTGCATGTAAAAACTTGGTACATTAGGTAGCCATTTTATGTGTAACAATAGGATGAAATCACCAAATTGCATATTGTCTTGTATGTGGATCTGAATGCTTCATAACAATATTTTTATTCATGAAATGAAGTCCAGTACTGATAGATGGGTAAAAGACCTGGAGCCATTCCAGAAATTCATTAAAAAAGTGCAAGTTTGGTGTTAAATTAATGTCTTCTGTGGGTCACCTTACAAACAGCTTGAGATCCCCACTGCATAACCAGTATTGCAAGGGAAAACTTTTAAATTTCTCTTGACTGTAGGGAAAAACCAGCAAGTCCTAAGTTCATTGTAACACTTGATGGAGTGGACAGTGATATGGAAGACAAATATGATGTACAACTAAAGAAAGAAAAGAAGAAGAGGAAAACAAAGAAGAATGTTGAGCTGGATGATTATGAGGAGATTGACACAACAGAGGTGACAGAAGAAATAAAACCACCATTAGAAGTGGCTACCCCTGAAAAACCGGCCATCAAACAGATCACGTTTGATCTGGATCCTGTTGATGATGGTAAGTTTCCTATAGTGAGATAATCTTATCATATTAATATTTAGTTCTTATTAAT